AATAAGTGGAACAACTTAACTCCAGAAGTTGTGAATGCCTCAACACTGGAAGTCTTTAAGAAGATGTTGGATAGCCATCTGTCTGAAATGGTATAGGATTTCCTGCCTAGGCAGGGGGTTGGACTAGAAGACCTCCAAGATCCCTTCCAACTCTGCTATTGTATTATATTGTATTGTATTGTATTGTATTGTTTTGTATCGTACTTGGAGGTTTATCTGGGAACTGCTGAACATTCTGTGTTGTAAACTGGAGATAGATGACGTATCCCTCCCCTTGAAGAAAGGGCTGTTTAATTTTGACATAGATGGCCTCATCGACTCCTCTTTGAAACCAGCGGTCCTCTCTATCAAAAATGTGGCCTCTGTTGTCTTCAAAACAGTGGCCTTTGTCTTTCAAACGCAGATGGACTGCTGAATCTTGTCCCGATGGATTTGTTCTCCTATGTTGAGCCATGCGTTTATGAAGTGGTTGCTTTGAAGGAATTGGTTTGGACTGGATGCAGAACTGTCATTCTAAATTAACCCCATCTTTCAATCTATGTTTAATGCTTCCAGGCTGGTCAAGACAGGGTGAAGTAAATTCCAAAGCTTATTGGGTTTGAAAAATAAAAATAGTAGTCCATTTTTGGGGAGGGAATGATTATACTCAAGTTTGGATTTAGAGCATAGAATTATACCTGACTCTTAAAAAGAAATGAGAGGCCAAACTTTTATCTTTGTCTTTTGTTCAATTTTCCTCAGGCGAACATTCTTGGAGGAAATTCTTTTACGTCCTTTCAGCTCTTCGAAATCTTCATTTCAAGCTGCATTTGCTTGTCAGCTAACTGCAGAAAGTTGGTGTTATCATCAAAAGCGAATAGTGGAAAGGTATTTTTTACCCTCCAAATGATCTACTGTTAAGATTCCCATATTTTCCAATGTAAATGGGAAGGAGGAAAAGAAAGAAAGAGAGGGAGGGAGAGGGAGGGAGGGGAAAAAGAGAGAGAGAGAGCTCTCAAGTTGTTATATATGCCTTAAAAGAGAGAAATGTAGAGGAGGAGGGAAAGGGTGGGAGAGAGGGAGAGGGAGCAAGAGAGGGAGAGGGAGGGGGAAGAGAGAGAGCTCTCAAGTTAAATATGTCTTAAAAAGAGAGAAATATAGAAAAGGATGGAAAGGGAGGGAGAGAGGGGGAGAGAGAAGGGAGGGAAAGGGAAGGAGGGAGGGAGGGAGGGAGGGGGAGAGAGAGAGAGAGAGAGAGAGGGAGGGAGCTCTCAAGTTGTTAAATATGCCTTAGGTTTTTAAAATCTGTTTTCTGCAAAGAGTAAACTGTATGTTGCATTTTTCATGAATTCACATGTAAAATGTTAAATTCAAAATATATATGAGGCTTTTGATCGTCCCCCCCATTAGAAATCCATCGCTGAGTTTATGCACTGATTCACTAGGTCCACTGGTTTTGGCTTCTTGTCCCATTCCCCCCCAACCATGGTTTGGTAATATTGATCAGTGATTGACAATTACTGTTGTACTCATATTGCAATCACAAGAAGGGTATCACACCAACTGAAGATGTCTGCAGTCAGAAACGTTTTTGACATGCGATCGAGCAAAGAAAAAGGAATAAGAGATGCCTGTTGATTTTATTTGCTGTTCAGTCATTAAGTCCCCTTTGACTCTTTGCAACCCCATGGACTGCAGCATGTCAGGTCCCTCTGCCCAAATTCATGTTCATTGTGTCAATGACCAGCGGTGGGTTGCACATTTCCTTACCTCCGGTTCACCACGCGGACACGCAGGCACGGGGAGCCTTTTGTGCATGCGGCGGGCTTTCCGCGCATGTACTTTGCTCACATGCGTGCCTTCTGTGCATGCATCTGCCCTCAAAAACATGCATAAATGGGTGGGCAGGTTGGCGGGCACACCCGCACGTTCCACTACTGGTTTGGGTGAACCAGTCTGAACCGGCTGAATACCACCTCTGTCAATGGTACTATGTAACCATCTTATCCTCTGTTGTCCTCTTCTCCTTTTGCCTTGAATCTTTCCTAACATCAGGGTCTTTTCCAATGAGTTCTCCCTTCTCTTTTGGTGGCAAAAGTGTTTGAGGTTCGGCTTCAGTATTTCTCCTTCCAAAAAACAGCCAGGATTGAGTGATTTGATCGCTTTGCAGTCCAACAGACTCTCAAGAGTCTTCCCCAACACCACAATTCAAAAGCATCAATTCTTTGACGCTCAGTCTTCCTTGATAGTCCAGCTGTCACAGCCATACATTACTATTGGGAATTGAATTGAATTTTATTATTTGTATGCCGCCCTTCTCCGGGAGGGACTCAGGGCGGCGAACAACTCAATCCTGG